CCGCACACGCAGCGTTTTCTTATCGCTTGCTTCCGCGTAACTCAATTGCTTTAATTGCAATTTACGAAATTTCGTCGCTTGGCGCGAGTGCGCCTGCACTCAAAAGCACAATCCGCGATGACATCTAATGTCAATAACCTCGCTACAGCTGTAAAGGTAAATGCAGAAATGCAAGCCCAGCTTAACGTTGTGATGGCAAATAGGCAAGCCTCCATCATGCCAATAAACTCAAAAATAGATATCGCCTCCGTGCAAGGCATCACTAACAACAAAAACACGAAACGTAAACAGCCAAATTCACCAAAAACCATCAAGAAAAGGCTCATCTTCGACGAACCAAGCACCAGCAATGCAGCATTAATATCAGAAAATCGATTTTCACTGCTCGTAGAAGAAGATGAAGACTACAGCGAATCACCTGTAGCTCCAGAAGCCCCAGTATTGACCGACCAGCAAACTACACCGAAACCTCGTCCGCCCCCCATATGGTGTCCAAACATCAAGTCTGTGGCCCTACTTCAACAGATAATAGATAAAGTAATTGATGCTAAATCATACGTAATTAAGCCAAAGAAGAATAACATAGGTGTATTAACCCAATGCAGTGAGGACTATCGCAGAGTTATAGACCACTTTACTAAGCTGGAATTGGAGTTCCACTGCTACCAGCTTAAGGAGGACAAACCATATAGAGTCGTGTTCAAAGGGCTTCACTCCAGCACTGATACAACACTAATTAAAAAGGAATTGGAAACCAAAGGCCACACAATTACAAATGTGCACAACCCACTGAGCCGTATGGACAAAACACCGCTAAATATATTTTTTGTTGACGTGGCTCAGGCCCCCAACAACAAAGAAATTTTGGACATTCGAGTTGTCTGCAGGCAACGCTGCACAGTGGAACTGCCAAGAAGATACAACGACCTGACACAATGCCATCGCTGTCAAGAATTTGGACACACACAACGCTACTGCCACAAAGCTCCCAGATGTGTGCGTTGCGCCGGGAAACACGCATCCAAAGACTGCACCCGCGAAAAGGACCAGGCACCAACTTGTGTGCACTGTGAGTTACAGCACCCAGCCAACTATAAGGGCTGCCAAGTATACAAGCGGTTGCGCAAATTGCAATCCCCAGCACAAAAAAGGAGTCCCACACAAACACCGTCTACGGGTCCGAGTACTGCTTCCGAAATTACAAGGCCCCGGAGCATTACCCAAGCCACGAGCTTTGCAACGCCTATTAGTGGTGTTTCTTACGCACAGGCCGCTAGAGGTGGACCGTCAAATAAGAATACCACAAGTGACACTTTGTTCACTGAAATGCTTCAGCAACAACAACGTCAGTTTGACGCAATTAATGCCGAGCTCAAAGCGATGCGAGAAGTACAATCCCAACAAGCAACCATGCTAAACAGTTTAATGGCCATCATAACCAAGCTTGCCTACAAATAATGGCTTTACGTGTGGGTATCTGGAACGCCAATGGCCTGAGAAACAAGACTCAGGAACTGGCTGCGTTTCTCTCACAAGAAAACATAGATATAATGTTAATAACAGAAACTCATGAGTGCCCCACTACACAAATTTTCGGATACGAACACTATCAGGCTCATGGTGAAGGAGCAAACTGCTTTGGTGGATCCTCAATCCTCATACGAGCAACAATACCGCATACACCTTTACTGCCAATTTGCAACGCAACAATGCAGGTCTCAGCCATCACCCTGCCTACGTCTATTGGAGCGATCGAAGTTGCGTCAATTTATCTTCCGCCAAACACTGGTCTGTGTGATCATCACATGGAACAGGTTCTAGGCCAAAGGTTGAATAAGACCCTCATCGGCGGCGACTGGAATGGATGGCACCCATTTTGGGGAAGCAATAGTGCGAATCGTCGCGGAGAAGTCATATTTGAGGCGATTCAAAACTTACAATTCAGCATATTGGCGACTGGAGCCCCCACCCGTTACCCAATTAATGGACACAGGCCCTCGGCAATCGACTTCGCTGTCTACAAAGGCATCTGTGACCGGCAATTGACCATTGAAGAATCCTTGGACCTATCCTCTGACCACCTGCCACTAATAGTCACAATCCACGCGCAGCCACAGCCCTTGCCCATTAGGAAACAACTACTGCCAGCAGGATCAGATTTAGGAGTCTTTAGGCGCGAGCTCCATTACTCTTTGCACATAGAAATGGAACTTAACACTCCTGAAGACGTGGACTACGCAGCAAACAAACTGCAGGAAGAAATAGTCAAAGCTGCGCACCAAGCCGCCCCACCATCTTGCCAAACAAGACAACAGTCTCCGTACAACATCCCCCTCACCTTGGAGGCCCAACACCTACTAATACACAAAAGATGGGCCAGGAGACGCTGGTTAAGATTACGCACGCCTGATGCCAAATCCATGTACAACGAAGCCACGAGGCATCTTAAAGCTGCTCTCGCCCTGCTTCAAAAGAGGTGTATCAGCGATGCGCTGGTACGAGCTGAATCGCCCACTGACGCAGAGTTTCAATTATGGAAATTTACAAGAAAGCTCAAACGGCAGCCAATACGACGTCATCCCATTCGGAGCATTTCTGGTTCCTGGCACATTGGAGACGAAGCTCAAGCTGAGGCTTTTGCAAACCACCTTCAAGACCAATTCACGCCGGTGATTACCGCAGAGGCCTCAGAAATCGAAGCAACAGAAGACATCGTTCTCTCGCCCCTCCCAGCTGAAGACCAGATAACTGGATGTACAAAAGAAGAGGTTCTTGAACACATCAGAAGAGTGAAGGCAAAAAAATCCCCTGGATATGATCTAATAAACGGCAGAGTCCTTAGAGCACTGCCTGACTCCACCATAGACTACATAACTATGGTGTACAACGCCATGCTCCGCATCCGGCACTTTCCAGCCTGCTGGAAGCGCGCCGTGATTGTGATGATTCCTAAGCCTGGCAAACCCGTGGGAGAAATTGAGTCGTACAGACCAATTAGCCTGTTGCCAGTACTCTCCAAAATATTCGAAAGAATATTTCTGGAACGAGTACTGACACATCTGGGACGCCAGGAGGCCATTCCAAACCATCAGTTTGGCTTCAGGAGACAGCATGGAACACCGGAACAGGTTCACAGAGTTGTGCACCATATCCTTGGAGCCTTTGAAGAAAAGATGTACTGCTCTGCCGTCTTTTTAGACATCAAACAGGCGTTTGATCGAGTTTGGCACCTGGGACTGCTGCAGAAAGTGAGGACCACCCTTCCAGCCCCATTTTTCGCGTTGCTATCCTCATACCTTATTGGAAGAACCTTCCAAGTGTCAAGGGGGCAAACAGTATCCTTGACTAGACCAATTATGGCTGGAGTACCACAGGGTAGTGTTCTAGGCCCAACACTTTATACTTTATTCACAGGAGATATGCCAACTCCCGAGCCAAATATAGGAAGTACAGATGCAGTACTCATAGCGACCTATGCAGATGACACCGCCATCTTATCACGTCACGTATCTGCGCAAGAAGCTTCAGACTCACTACAAAAATATCTGGACTCTTTCGGACGCTGGGCAAAACGGTGGTGTATCACCATTAATGCACAAAAGTCTGTACATACTACCTTCGCCACTAGAAGAGGAGATTGCCCAAGCGTTGCATTGGGGCCCACTATTCCCAAAGCCTCAAAAGTAAAGTACCTTGGTATCACTCTTGACAGAAGGCTGACTTTTAAAGCGCACATAAGTCAAGTAACCTCAAAATGCAAAAGCAAGCTAAAAACCCTCGACTGGATGCTGAGAGCTTCAAGCAAGTTGTCTTACAGCAGCAAGGCCGCCATCTACAAGGCAATAGTTGTCCCAACCTTCGTATATGGTATCTCTCTATGGGGCTCCTCGGCGAAGACTACAAGGAACAAAATTCAGACCCTGCAGAATAAAGCACTACGCAGATGGACTGGAGCCAGCTGGTTTGTAAGAAACTCAGTCTTACATAGGGATTTAGCAATTCCCACAGTTGCTGAACTCATTGGGCGACACAGTTCAAGATACGCGGACAGACTTGCAGCGCATCCTAACCATCTCGCAAGCAACCTGGCTATAAACAACAATAGGCGAAGACTGAAGAGATTGCATCCTCTAGACAATATTAGAACTAATTAAGATAGTAGCTACAAGTGCAGAATAATTGGCATATCTGCCCTCCCATTAGTTAAGGTTTAGAGCTAAATGCGCTATAGAGTCTAAGACAATAAGCTGCAACAAAATAAAGAAATAAAAACGAAAAAAAAAAAAAAAAAAAAGAATCAATATCGATAACATCGCAGATTGGAACTGGGAGCGCGAACTAGCTATTTCAAAAGCTTACTTGTATGAACTATCGTTAGTTGAGTTAAATAACTTTTAGATTATCTTGTTTTTCAATCAGACATACTTAAGTCAATTTAAAGCTCTATGCAGGTAATTTGATTGCAACTTTATTACAACAAACGATTGCAATCAATCCAAATTGAAATTAAAATCATAATCCGAATCCAAATCGAAGCCAAGAACTTTGCAGCTTGGCAAACTTTATCGGCCAAGTCAAAATGCCAGCCAAACAATAAATCTATGAAATTATTAGCAACGCCCGAGGAAATCAAAGTGAATAGTTCGAGGAGCTGCAACAGGAGCAGCAGCAGCAGCTCGAGTCCTGATAAATGGTCTGCCAGAAGCTGAGTGTGTGCGGGGCTAATTGAATTTAATTGCCCACTTAATGGTGCAGTGAGCTGAATGCAAGCGCACAGAAAGAAAGTAAAGAAAGTAAATCTTGTGCAAACTACGTTTTCCCATTTCGATAAACGAGGCTGCAAGGACAACATAAGGCTATTTTTTTGGTAAGTGGGTCTTCGGGTCAAATCGATGACCTGCCTGATGTCTTTTTAAATATTGTCCTATTTAATTTTCATTTTTTTCTATATCTCTAGCTGTATATATCTCTGTCTCTCCTTCTCTATCTCTGTCTCTCCTTCTCTATCTCACTATCTCCCTCTCACAAACTCTATCTTTCTGTTCTCCCTTATCTCTCTCTTTTATGTCCAACTTTGTCTCTCTATAGCTGTCTCTCTCGCTCTATGAACCTCTTCTGCGTCTCTTTATCCACGCGACTTACGGCTTAGTGGCGGCTGCAAGCAGGGCTTAACAAACATTTGGTCCTGCTCGTGGATCCACCGAGCTAGAGCTAAAATAAAAGGAGCCATGAAAACCTATATTTTTCAAACGATGTCCTTACCGATCTTTCGACCGATCAGAACGGGGCAAGCACCGTGATAAGAGCGCGTCTCAAAGTCGAATGAGCTGGGATTCATGTTGTACCAATGGAGAACTTTGCCCTTTTCGGGATGCACCGCCAGCTTGATGTCGGAAAAGACTGTGGCACCGCCCCGAGTGACATCATTGAGCTGAGTAACAAGCAGCAGTTAAGAGATTGTTTGCATATGGAACCATCGGCGGCTACATAAATTAGGAAGGTGGCAACGCGATCGTCAGAGGAGTGATCGGTGTCATTCAAGTAGTCATGATGGAAGGTGTAGTGGCCCCCAAAGTCATATTTCAGATATTCAAAGCTTGCATGGCCAAGCCGCAGTTCGGTCAGATCCCTCAACCTCTGGTAGATGCGCTTCACCAATTGCGCATCCTTCGGGGATAGTTCGTCGCTATCTAGAAAGACGTCGTTCGCAGTTCGCACCTTGAACACAGTTTCCGTTCCATCTTCCTCAACAATTAAGGAGCGGCTCAACGAGGGCTCAGACATGCGCCTCAAACTTTCAATCTCCTCGTCGTAGAGCACATCGTGGAAGACCACCATGTAAGGATCCTCAGACAGCAGCTCCATTTTAAAAGGAGCCAGATGCAAAAACTTCGATGGATTCGTTTTGTAGGAACAAACAAGTCGAGTTGGTCTGGGCGTGTACGATGAGTCGCAAAGTTCAATAAAATCGTCGTCCGTGTCTTCTATATAAGGATGGTCTTCACTAGGGGCAGCTTCATGATTGCGATAAGCCAACAGCAGCTGCTCTGCCTGAGCCCTCAAACTAGGCTCCTCTAGTAAAGCAGCTCGTGCTAGTTCCAAGTGACCTAAGTGAATGGAAATGATGTGAAATTTAGCGGGTGTTGCGGGAGAAGTAACACACCTGCTGCCATTTCGGATCTAGCCAGGAGTGAGGATATATTACTACGTGAGACGGTTAACAGTTCTTCAGCTGCAGTCAGGGACTGGTCCCACAGTTCTCTAGCCACGATCAACCAACTAGCTGCATCAGAAAACTGCGAGGCTTCGAACAAGTTCGCTCCCATCTCATAACAGTCGGAGATCGAGAGCTTTGCACTGTGGAATGAGGGTAAACGGGATTGATCATTCGATTAGTCCGTTGCTTACACACTTCAGCTGCACCTCATCTAGCAAGCCGTTAGCTACATCAGCTGGCTCCAGTTGGTAGACTTGCTGCACTCGATTCATAGCTGCCGTTGCCTCCATGACATCCTGAAGTCGAGGAAGCTCACTGCGCATTTGCTTGGCAAAATCAATTTGCTCTACAGAGTATAGATAGCACTGGGTGGGCATAGATCACTGAGTGGAAACTCACCTAGACCCACGCTCTGCTCCATGAGTTTCTCCACATGCGGCCAATCGAAGTGCATTTGCCGCACGAGCGAATAGCTGAGCAGAGGATTGGAGAGAACCTCCGACTCGGGATCCTCGACTCGCAGCAAAGGACCTTCCAATTCCAGAGCTAGCCTGCAAGTCGTAGCCTTAGTATACGTATCTAGGTACGACTCGTTGAATACCTTCGCAGCGTGTCCAGCTTCTGATGTAGCCTATTTACATATTCATTCAGATTCTCCATGAGCTGTCTGTTCACCTTCAGCATGTGCAGCTTGTCCAGCAAGGACGTTAGCTCGTCTGTGCCTTGAGTGGGATTTATAGACTGAATTAACATGCCCAATACAGCGAAGCCAACTACATTTGATAGCTTCCAACATGCTCTAAGCTGCATTGTCTCTAAAATATAAATGTACTTCAGTTTGGTATGTCTTGACTTGATTAAACTGTGACGATTTTGATGAAATCAAACTTAGAACTATTATTAAAGTAGTCTCTTAATTTGAAACTATTCAAGTAACTCAAGAGTAACTAAGATTGGAATGAAAACTTTGAGTTACCAATTGACTCCAGTTTCTATGCCAAAGAAACTTTAGCTTAACCAGACTTAGGCTTCATAAAGAGCTTAGTTACACGTAGTTCCGAAATTGAAATACTTCTTGAGTTGGAAAAAAATGTATATTTATTGATAGCTGAGAATTTGTGAAGAACGCAGCTCATTCCACGCTGGCTAGGAACTTGATGAGAACTGCAGCAAGAGAAAGAGAGAGTTTGATAAGATAAGGCTAAGGAATCACTGGAGCCAAAGACTCACCCAGTCTGTTGCCCACCATATTGGGGCAGAGCGTGATCCGAAAGTCGTCTTCGTGAACGAATATCAACGCATCGCCTCGACTTGGAGAGACGGCTAGATCATAGTTAGCTATGGTAATGGTTCCACCCAGATCCATATCATTCAACTAGCAAACGAGAGTTCATTTAGTGGCGCTACCTAAGAGACGGACAGCTGAGTGACTTACAAACACAATGGCCGTGGCATCAATATCTTTCTCTTGTACCTTTAGAAACTAGAACGACAAAGGAAGAGGAGTTGAAGGAGTTTTCTCGCGGTTCACAAGCTGCTTTGCCTTACCTTGTATAAATTGAGCAGACTGAATGGATCCCGGGGACTATACTCGAGCATAAAGAACTGTTTCGAGTGCAGCTGGAATCCCGACATGTCCGTCAAGCGCTCCATCAATGCGATTGATGTCATGCTGAATATGTCCGAAATGGAGCAGATTTTCATGCCGGGGATTCTCGTCAGCAGCGCGTTCGGTGGACAGTGCTCGAAGGCTTTCGTCAGGTGCGTGATCACGCGCTCATTTGCGCCGTTTCTATAGAGCATGACAATGGGATCGTACGACACCTCCTCCATCTGCAGCGGCGCCAGCTGCAGAAAGGGCGAAAAATCGCTAATGAGTTCGCAAACCAATTGCAAGTCCCTGGTGAAGTTTCCTCTGCATTGACGCTGCAGTTCGGTGGGCAATTCGTTAGGTGCCGATGGAGAACGGCCCACGGTCAGCAGCTCCAACTCCTGGTCCCATGTCAAAGTTGCATTTGCTGTCAACAATTCACTTGCATCAGTCCACCTTGCCCTAACCCTACGCCCTTCCTTAACTTACTTTCCTTTCTTTGCTCCGCCAGCACCTGACTCTGTATTTCGAATATCCTCTCTGCTTTGGCGCCCAGCAACACGCCATGGGGCGATGAGGTGTAGTTGACTCGTGCCACGTCCAACCACTGCATTGCCTCATGATACTTGCGCTGTCGGTACAGCTCCCGACCCATGTGATAGTAGTCCCATGGCTTCAACCTATTTGGCCGTACAAGTTTACAGGGTATTCAGTTGGCTAAGCAACCCACACCAGAGCTCACCTCAAGTGTTGCTTGCTGTGCATCAGGAAGGTAGCCGGCGCATAGTCGTAGAACCTGAACAGCGTCAGCAGATTCTCTGCCGCCTGCTTGTGGGCCTGGGCCTTGGGTATCAGCGAGAGAAAACGATGCTGCAGCTCAATCTGCTCGGCGCCCAGCGGTTCCAGCATCTGCAACTGCCAAGAGCGCCAATCGTAGCACATGTGATTCAGCAGTCGGAAGGCAAATATCGGATTCGACATATACAAATCGGGTTGTTTATCGACGTACTTGAGAAGGCGGCTATACTCGGCAATAGCTCTGATGGGAGAGAGAGAGAGAGAGTGATAAGAGAAGAGGGAGACAAGGAGGGGGAACGGAAAAGAGACGTGAAAGAGAAGAGAGAAGTGGCAGAAAGAAAAGGTGTGAGAAGATCGGAATTTCGGAGAAAAAAATATAGAGAAAAAGAGGGAGTGAGAGAGGGGTAGAAAGGGGCAAGAGAAAAAAATGTGAAAGGAAAGAGATAGAAAATGACAGAAAATATATGGTAAGGGAAGAGAAATGGGATGAAAGAGAAAAGGTAACAGATGAAACGAAGGGGAAGGTGATACGAATGAAAGCAGAAGAGAAGAATGAAGAAAAGAGAAGAGCGAAAGAGAAGATATGCGAATGTGATATGGGAGAAGAGTGAATGAGGAATAAAGAGGATGAGCAATAAAGTAAAGTATAAGAAAAGGAAAAGATGATACCATATGAAAATTGTATAGGAATGGAAAAAACAAGAAAGTAAGAGAAGTAAGTGAAAAAAGAAGAGAAGAGTTGAAGAAGATAAGAAAAGAGAAGTAAATTGAAATGGAAGGGAAGAAGAGAAAATAAAACAACAGATGAGATAAGAGAAAGTGAGAGAGAGAGAGAGAGAGAAAGAAGGATACAAAGAGGGAGAGTAAGAGAGAGAGATAGATAGAGAGAGACAAAGACAAAGAGACAGTAAGAAAATTGAATTAAGAAATGGAACAGAAAAGTAAAGTGTACTGCGTGTTTGATTGCACCATTCCGTAAAGGAATCACAATGATCTTGATATTTACCCATTCATAATGCGAACTCTCTCCTCGATCCGTTTCACATATTCGCTAAAGTTATGCAACAATTCGCGTTCCAGTTTCACGACCTTTTGCAGGTCAGCGTGAACGTGAATGTCTTCACTATGTGCTGCGGCAACTAGCAGTGGGAGCAGGTACAGAATAGCAACCATTATAGCTGACGCGTACCTCAAGAATGGACCCAAGCCAAGCGCACCTGACTTCGGCTTGACTAATTGCACTAGGAAGTGGAGTACAGCTCAACAACCACAGCCAATTCAATTATGCAGCAGAGTGGACCCGACAAACAAATAGTAAATGCATTTTTACTAAAACAATCGATTCCATTAAAACTTTTCGTTTTCATTAAAATAACTTAAATATTACAGTTTTGGTAGCCTTGCCTGTTACAGTTTTAAAAGAACTGCATTTAAGCAAGCAGTCGAAACGAAGCAGTGCACTGCTTGCCTTTAATTTTACTTATATCGATATAATTTACTCGATATTTTAAAGCTCCAACATTGTCAAACTATCGTTAAATTTAAATATAAATTATTTGCTTCAATACTAAATAATATATATAAGCTTATTGTCATGGTAAATAGTAATACAATTAACAAATTGTGCTTGCTATTTCGTCCCGTAACAATGTTCCAGTCTCATCGTCTTCATACTCAATGCCGCCATCAAACTCAACTAGCTGTTCGTGCAGCATTTCATTCTCATTAATTGGCGTCTTACGTCTGCAGCAGATGTTGTGCAGGGCGCAACACACGTTGACAACATTTACCACAAACTTAGCGTCATACATCAGAGCGCGTTGCAGGCAGGCAAAGCGACTCTTGAGCAGGTTGATCGACCGCTGAGCCACAGCTCGAGCTGCTGCATGTCTCTCATTGAAGCGCTGCTCAACTGAACCAGGCTTTGGATTACTATAGGGCGTCAGCACATTATGCTCCAGTGCGTAAGACGAGTCGGCCAGAACATAATGGCATTTAATGTGCTTCGACAAATACTGCCTCTCCTGGCTATTACTCCAAATGAAATGGTCACTGCATGAGCCGGGATGAGTGGCATCAATCGCCATAATCTCCATGTTGAAGTTGAGCAACTGCAGAGTAAAGGTTAGTTGGGGATGCATTAGTGCACGCTGCTTACACACACCAGCATGGCATTGAGGCTGTAGTATTCCTTTTCGTTAAAGTAAACTGTTTCATCCCGCACTGGCTTCAATATGCGAACTTGGAATCCGTCCACACAGGCGACGACTCGAGGCAGTTGAAAGTTTTCGTAGAAGTAGTCGCACGACTGTTTTATCTGCTGCTGCGACATCCGCAGACTGATCGCTGCCTCGCAGAGCGCCGCCTCCATTAGCGGAATAATGTTGTGCAGTATCCGGCTGAAGGTGGTTCTGCCAATGTTTACGGGACGATCCTCTGCCACAGACAGCTGGTAGGAGCCCGTGGCCAAGAAGTGAAGCACTGCAGCCAACTGCAGTGCTGCCGTTAAGTGCGATACTGTAAAGTCTGGTCGAATTTGACGTAAGATCCATCGGAATGTATCCTTGTCCACACGAAATAGTTTTATAAAGCTACAAACATGATTTTTCAGAGAAAGCTCAGAAAACTAACCATACAACTACAGCATCCTACCGCGTGTCTGTAAGACTAAGTACAGATATATCTGATTTTGAATTTCCTTTTTTATTCAGTTTATGTGCTTTTTGCTTTCTTCTCGACTCGGAACAAGCGAGTGCAAAAACAAAAGTCATTTTAATTTATTTCTTTCATTTGTTTACAAGCAGCTGTCTTAGAGATGTAAGTTTGACTTTCGATTGATATGCAGCACTCTAATCAGTGTGAGTGCTGCCACTTTGTGCTGACGGAGTTGCCTGATTGTGAACTGAAAAGCTCTTGGACTTACATACACATATAAAAGCTTTTAATATAAAAAAGCTAACAGAACTGTATCGGTTAAATTTGTAGAGGCTTTCCGCTAATTATTAGAATTTAATTTACATCGTTAAAAACAAAAAATGTGCAGTTGATTTTTTCTTATACAATAAAAAATAGCAAATTTTAGAGTTATTTAACAGAATAATTTGATGTATAAATTATACTAAAAGACTGGCCAAATAATTTTGGATATCGATAACAGCACATTTAGACTATCTCTCCTAACAGCTTCAGAGCGGGCAAAGAGAAATACACACAAATAAATTGAACTCTATACTTGATGCTCCATATGAGAAAAAAATTGCAAATTATTGTCTGATTTGCTCAAGTTTTCTCAGTTGCATTTGTGCTCTTAGTTGCAGCGGTTGTGCATTCACCCATCGTAGAGTAAATGTCTACTTAAAATTGCAACTAATTGTGTATAAAACGATCAATAATTCTGCAGGGCGGACGCAACGCGCTCTTAAGTGTGGTATATGTGTTTGCAATAAATAATTATTAACGTTTTTGACAGCAAGAAGACCTCAAACAACGACATGCTACTGCAGAGAAACAAGTAAAAAGCGGAATATGGTTTCCTTAGTTTCGTTTTGTCTCGTTTGTGCTTACGTTTGTGTTACCCTTATAATTTAATTAGTGTCTCGCTATATGTATTTTTTCTGTTTCTGACAATTATTCACATAGCATTCGCTCCCACTTCATTTCGGCTTGTCTGCACTCCAGTTTATTTGCGTTTCAGTTATGTCTGTTGACATATGCTTGCTTGAATGTGTGTGTGTGGTTGGTTATATGTTTATATGTGTTTGCGTTGCTGATTACTTCATCTGTTCATTTTGGTTTATTTTGGCTTTTGTTTTGTTCATCACATTCTTCTGGCGTTGCCAGTACTGGTCAAGTTGGCCAGCTGTTTGAATTTGGTTGCATAGCAACAATACAACACCGCAATAACAGCATTATTATTTAAATCGTTGTACAATAATTGTGCTTTCTAGGCTAATTTTTGTTCGATACTTTATTTTATTATAATTGTTATCAATTTAATTGGCTGAGTTGGCCTCTATGGGGGCAGTCTGGCAACGCTGCCTGTTCGCTCGCACGGCCGCTCTCGGAGTTGCTTTAGCTCTTGTGCTCCATTTATTTATTCTATTCGCTTTTATTTATACAAAACGATAAAGTGTCTTTTATTGATTTCGAGCCTTCGAACGTGTACACAGCAACCGTCGGATTTATTAATTGAAGGCGTTAATCAATCAACGCTTAAGTGTCTGTTGCCCGTTGCCCACTGTTTCGTTGTGTTATCACAAAAATCGCGCGTGTTTTCGTTAAATAAAATACTTGAGCGCATTTCTTAACAGGTATCTTCTTGTTTATAAATATGTACTCTCTCCAAAGTAACTGTGTGTCCATGCTATATACAAATTGTAAAGTCAACGCGATAAGATAAGTGCCACCCGGCTAGATTTGTGGCTTTGCTTAATTACATGCCACAACCCACGCACATTCGCACTCACGTGCATTTCGCTTAGGTTGAAATGTCAAGAGATTGCGACACTTTGAAATGAGGCGCCATTAGAAAAACTTACAAGTTTCGCATGTTCGTGTGAGTTTACGGTTTGTTGTTTTTGTCTGTGTCAGTTAACTGAGATTTGTATATATTTGCCGCAATATACTCGCATTACACTTGTAGACGCCAATTTGGCGCATGGGCTCATGAGCTGTTGATAGGTGTGTTGGACGAAGGGGCAGGAGGAGAGAGAGAGCTTTGTGTGAGCTGTGTCTCTGTCTGGCATCAGGCCAATAAAGCAATGCGCAACAATAGACCGCAATTGCCATTCGCTTTACATATAAACATATAAATGTGTGTGTGGGATTTGGGTACAGCAAACGCTCCCTTGAGAGGACATTTCCTGTAGCTTGGGTAAATTTGAAAATACAGAAACATTTTATATTTGAACTATTCCTACATGGACGAAAAAATAATATGGTTAACCAAACTAAACACACATTTATGTTTTAATTAAAATTACAAATACATTAACTAAATAGAAAAAATAATAATAATTTTTTTAATTCAATTTATCAGTAACTCAAAAATTGGTTCAAACTTATAAATATATATTAGTAAAATATTTTAGCTACTCATTCGTCTCATCTTCAATGCACACCACCCTTTAGATATTCGTTCAAGGCAGCCCTCACTGTACCAGCGATATGTCAGAGAATTTACTCAATGTGAGCGTCAACTTGTTGCCTGAAGCAAAAAGGTCTCGATTAGATATAACTGTTTATTTGGGGAAACGACTGCAACAAGCGTTAAGCATATAAAATCAATTAGAGTCACAAATTAACTTCAACCTAGCGTCGATCGTCGGCATCGAAACTGCTCGCCTTCAGCTTAAGGCTGCCACGAGTCAGCTGATTCAGGTCGATAATGGACAGGTACGGCTTGGGCGGCACAGGCACCGTCAATGGCACCTCAATGGAGGGTGCGACAGCGGCGGCGGCAGCGCGTCGCTTATGGCGACTGCCTGCGCCCGGCTCGCTAACGCCAAGGGAATACTGATCATGGTGGCCACAACTGGCAGTTACGGCGCGCCGATAATTGCGATAGCCGCTGAAGCAGCTGCTGCTGGGCGCAATGGGCATGGGACGCGTCGGTGAAAAGCCGCCCTCGTCAGAGGAGACCCCGCCAACTCCGCCGCCGCCGCCGCCGCCAGTTGAGTCGTAGCAAATGCTTAGATTGGTGTAGGCAATGGGCGCATGGCATCGTGTCGTCTTTGGCCGCGGCTTCACCTCGTAACGTGTCCTGGAGCGTGAGCGCGAATGATGTGTACGCGGCCTGCCACGTCGCTTGCCCTGCTGCCGCAACTCCGATACCAGCGGCACGGCCAGCACATTGATGAAGCGATAGTATTGAAGCAGAGTCCTCGCCAGATTGCGCCCAACTCGATGATCTGCGTGTTCGGTTGATTAGACGGGTTAGAGAAGAGTCGGACATACTTACAGCCATCCTCGTTGTACAGCGCAATGGTCTTGCCATCGCGCAGATAGTGACCTGCCATGGACACCTCCAGCGTGTAGGCATTCACCGTGTCGCTGAGACGCTCGCAGCAATAGCGTCGGACGCTGCCCATCTTACGCTCATCCGCATTGAACATTGTGTGCTCGGCAATGTAATCTTTGGCATTGTTGGCAAAGAGTCGTGGAAAGACGAGATGCCGCTCATACCGATAGACGTCCTCGTACGTATTGCCATAGATGAAGCAGCCGTGCATGCTATTGTTCGCGTGCAGATCAATCACAAAGTCAATCTGATAGGTCTGTCGACAAGTAAAGGATGTTACAGTAAACGGTATCCGTAGTCTACCTAGTGTCACTCACATCTGAATTATCCAACTCTTTTAGCACATTCCGGATGGCATGCAACTCCGGCTGGGTATACTCGGACGCCACATGCCAGTTGCGATTCATGTCCTGGCCCATTAAATTGCAGCGATTGTTGCCAAGAAAGACACCATCCGGATTGACCATTGGCACTATTTTGAATACAAAATTCTCGCGCAGCACTTGCGCAATGGGATGATTGCCCACTAGAAACTCGATAAAGCCCTGGCACACATGAGACGCGGGCGCTTCGCTCGAATGCGTTCTACACAATATGACGATGACCCGTATAAAGCTACGCTCGAGCCGGTTCGTCGACCGCTGGTTGTGCGTCACCTGATCAATTGTAAGCAGATCCACATTGCGATTTTGCTGTGTAAATACGTGTACAAAATTTAAATGGAACTAAATTGGATGCTGTGCGATATACATACCAAAGATTTGACCAGAACGCAACGTGTGAAACGCTTGTCGTTGCCCTGGCGTGCATCGATCACATTTAAATAGGATTGCAAGCGGGAGTAGCTGTATGGCATGGCCAGGGCAAACATATACACATCCTCCTCCTTGTCGAAGTTGAAGCCAAAGCTGAGCACATAGTGTCCCTGGTGCATGGCGGAGCGATAGAAGAAGACCTGACGCTTGGGCAGACGCTGCCATTTTGGCCGGCTGGACGACTTGACGAGCGGCGTCAGACCGGAGTTGAACAGATTGCGGCTCTTACTGATGTTCACAATGTTGAAGAGCACGCGTTGATCCTGTTTCACATTGTCGACTGTGAAATTGAACCAGAAGCGAAAGCGCGGATTGCAGGTGTCTGGCCGCAGAAACAAATCATACTCGAACTCGCCCACCAGCTCCGCCTTGCCCAGATTGCCGGTCTCAAAGGCCGCATCGAAGCACAAGTGGCCACGTTTGGCCTTGCCGCTCTGCCCGGGCGGACGGATTATCACTCGGGAGACATTGCCCAGTCCGCCCTCACCATCGCTGTCCTCGCTATCTGGAATTGTAAATGAATAGAACGATAGAGTGGAGATCGGATTGAGCTGTTACTGAAGTGATGTGGAATCTATTGACCAAATACCATCTGAGCCGCGATCATACATGCTCGTATGCTGCAACGGATCGCAGGCTATGCCCAACATTTTGGCAAATCTCCGTGAAAGCTGCTAGTGTCTAAGACTCTTCTAAGGCAACTAATGCAACTTTCTAATCCTGCAGCAAAGCTGTCATAAGTTTCAACAGCAACGCCTTACCATATCGTAAAAGGTTAATCCTGCCGGGGTTCTATCTTTAAACTCGACAGCAGGCAATCGAGAGGGCACATGTATGCGTGTCTTGGTTATCGCAACTGGTGCAACTTTTTGTAGCTGCAACTGCCACGAAACTGCCGCCTCAAACGTCAAATTGAATAGTCGCGGTTGCGTTGCCTCCCCGTTGCACCACAAAAAAAAAGAAGAAGCGAAGAAGGGAGCAGCAGCAGCCAGCTCAAGGCATCTGCCACACTCACCTGAATCGCCCATGCCGCTTGCAACTTGATTGGATTACAGCTGCTACTGCTGCTGATGACGCGTCTCCTTCGATGACTCCAGCTGCCAGCGCATTGACCCGCTTTGCTCGCAAATTAAAAATAGAATTTCAATTAACGCCCATACATTGGCCGCCCACTTTTTGGATTTATGTCTTGGCAGACGGCTTTCTTTTCTTTCTTTTTTTTTTTTTTTTTTGATTTATCCACTTGGGCCTTTCACTTTCGCCAATTCGCGTGCGATGTCTTGGCTAGAACTTATAGATTCCAATCAGCGTGAAGACTATGCGTCGCCCTATCGCCCAGGTATTAACTGGCCGTTTGCCCTGAGTTGGGCTGAATGAGTGGCACACAGCCACGTTGACGATAGCTGCCGCTAACCTGTCTAATGTATTGCTTGGCACTTTTGACGTTGCCATACACACACACAGTCACACACACCTCAACTGGCGCTGGCAAAGGTTCACATGTGCGACTGTTTGATCGATAAAAACGCGCGCAGTTGGCATTGCGGTTTTGGCCAGGATTCACACAGTGAAATTGCGTCACGGCAGTCTTTAACTTTTGGCAACGCAAACTTCGCATAACTCGCATTAAACAAAAGAGGAAGACACAAAACTGGGCAACGACGTTGTCAAAGTTGCAGACTTAATTGCCTGCAGCGCGTTGCAGCAACAACACATAAATAACACCAGTCACAGCCAGCTGAAACTAGTTCACGGGGCTAATCAATAAAAAGAAGAAATAAGCGAATAAGTTAAAGACAAACGTGTGGGGCAACGCGTTGTTATATTTATGACAGCCACTGTCGCCGCACTCGCACCGTACATATTTCACATCTATAACTAGAAAGCCCATAGCATGTCCAAACGCAGGTAGCTTTTAATACACCCAACCCCCCCCCCACCGTCCACTGTTCATTAAATTATTGTTTTTATTATTATTTTTGTGCTCGTCTTATTATGTTGTTGTCTTTTGTTGTAATTCTTGGCTAATCTGAATGCTTATTTTCCAGGTTAGGCAGCGTGCGCCCACCGAAGCGTTGCAGGAGCGACATGGACAATACATCCACCTCGGACATTGTCATCATCAATGGCAACTCGCATCCGGATCTGGCCAACATGGTGGCCGAGCGCATGGGCCTCAAGAATGGCGGCTGCTCGGTCTTTCACAAATCGAACCGCGAGACCATTGTTGAAATAAGCGATTCGGTGCGTGGAAAGGACATATACATCATACAAACTGGCACCAAGTAAGTCGCAAATATTGCACCAACTACAAAGTATAGGAAAAATCATTTTATTGATTCCATTTAGAGATGCTAACAACAACATTATGGAGCTGCTCATCATGGCCTATGCTTGCAAGACATCTTCGGCTCGCTCCATAGTCGGCGTCATACCCTATTTGCCGTACTCGAAGCAGTGTAAAATGCGCAAACGTGGCTGCATTGTGTCTAAGCTGCTGGCCAAAATGATGTGCACCTCGGGTCTGACGCATATAATTACCATGGATCTGCATCAGAAGGAAATCCAAGGCTTCTTCGACATACCCGTTGACAACTTGCGCGCCTCGCCCTTCTTGCTTCAGTACATTCAGGAGAGCGTGAGTGGTAGTTGAGGCAGTTGTGCCTTTTTTTATATTGTAATACGATTTGGCCTGACTCTTCAATGTAGATACCTGACTATCGCAACTCGGTGATTGTAGCGCGCAATCCGGGCGTTGCCAAAAAGGCCAATTCGTATGCGGAACGCTTGCGCCTTGGCTTGGCTGTCATACACGGCGAGCAGAAGGAGGCTGAGAGCGACGAGGTTGACGGCAGATACTCGCCACCACCCACCAGGTAAGTCTCCACGCTAAACCAACCGTTTGGTCTGATCACACGCCAGCCGCGCCTCGCCTCTGTATGTATTCTCTTTGGATGTTGATACTCTTCCCACGACCGAAGCCACTTTTTGTTTATGTCTTGCAAATGTACATTATACAAATAATTTGCCAAATCTTTTCATTTGTATATAGTATTCGATCCGCTCCATTATTCCTTCAACGAATTTTATTTATGCTAAGCAGTTAATTGTTTGTTTATACTCGGTTGTAGCTAAAAGCACGTTCAGTTATATGTTTATTGTTTTAATTTGTTTCTCAGCGTAAAAGCTGTGTCTTCATTTCACGCTTGAGCTGCCCTTGGCTGCGGCTGTTGTAGACCCATTGTACACGTTATTATCCTAAGCTAAGTAAACAGTTGAAACATTTCCGCGTTAAGGGATCTATCATGATTAAAACACGATTTGCTTTATAAGTTTTGACATTAGAGAAGCTACACATAATAATAGCAATTGTAAAATAGAGTTGACAGTTCATATCTAAGTTCATGCATTAAAAACATTCTTTCTGCTTTGAGAAAAGACGTCTAAAACAATTTGTTTACTGCAATCATAATGTTGGTGTCTTTCGCCTAACCCTGAAACTGTCTGCATTAGTTTTGTATATACTTCATTAAATAGACTTGTGAAGCTGCATATATGTATGTGCCATTAACTGACCCATTGACATTGCTATCAAGCACGAACCATGTAGTTTGAACCATGGCCTCCATGAACTCTTGTAGCTGTTGTTCTCTTGTACTTCTCGACAACAGCTGCATACTTGGGTGCAAGTACGTACGTTCAGTCCGCTTTAGCTCATCTTCTTTCTTAATTATCGCTGCACGCATCTGGGCGATTTATTTGCCGTGGTTTGCGAATTCCACAGCGTTTGGCATTGAGCGAAAACGAAAACAGAAAAAAAAACAAAACACTTCTCTCTTTATTTATGCAGGGCGTATAGCAATATATTAGGAACTTCTGTTGAAATGTGCATACCAACGGCGTCTAGGTTTGTATTCTATATGCGAAATATATGAATATATGTGTGCATTTATATATTCTTGATAACTTGTTTGGTTTATAATGAACTGTGAATTGCTTATGTATCGTCATTTTTATTATTCTTTATTTTTTGGTTACTACAACGAACTACACCATTACCTCAACAACAACAACAACAATGCACCACTCTAAATACATCTGCACATGTTTATTATTCGACAACAACAACAACACCACCACCACCACCACCACTCCACACAACCACTCTGCACATTAAATGCTCAATATGCTCAACTACGCGACACTAATCACAAGAAACTCTACTCCGCAACATGCACCCAGTAGCAGCCGTCAGCGCACCACCTCCGTGTCGGTGGGTGTGCCGGAGCATCCAGTGAAAGTGAAGCCTCCGCTGACCATAGTGGGCGATGTGAATGGACGCATAGCTATCATGGTGGTATGTGTTACCATATATATTCGAGTCAAAAATATAGTAAGTTGATTCTTGTTACTCTACCTACAGGACGATCTGATCGATGATGTGCAGGCATTTGTGGCCGCCGCCGAAATGCTCAAGGATAATGGTGCCTGCAGAATCTATGTGTTGGCCACCCACGGTCTGCTTAGCTCGGATGCGCCGCGCCTGCTGGAGGAATCAGTTATCGATGAGGTGCGTTCTAGCATATCTTGCTGTTAATCCTTTTTATAATAACAACTTTACTTTTAGATTGTTGTGACCAATACCATTCCACATGAAATTCAGAAGCTGCAATGCAACAAGATAAAGACTATCGATATATCTATACTGATCGCCGAGGCCATACGCCGCATTCACAACAAGGAGTCAATGTCATATCTGTTTCGCAATGTCACGCTAGAGGATTAGAGATATACCTGTTTTACCAACTGCATGCCACACTCACCCATATACACATGCACACACATGCATCACAGGAACTGTGTCACAAATTGTAACTAGCCCAGTGAAGTAGCTTCATGGAAGTTGCATCTTCTTAATATTTTTTGTTTTCCAACGCCTTCCCCCGACTTCCTTACCCCTTTAATTTTATTAAATAAATACTATTATAAAACTCGCTCTGCGTATGGCTGCTCAAATAAAACAAATCGTCTGCTTTGCAAATTGGCAAAATATATTTTAATTGACATACGAATAAATGTAAACGATATTTTGTAAACTCTTCTTTGTTGCATACTTTTTGGCTGCACAGAAACAAAACGAAAAAGTTCTCACACTTGTGAAAATGAATAAAGCCTACGTCATTTATGACCATCTTAGCCAATATGAAAGACAAACAGAACCAATTTTATATATGTGCCAACTGCTGAGGCAAACAAGCAAAGTACACGGCAACCTCTTGAATGCAAATTGCGAGTACTTGAAAAGTTTATCAGCATTTTGCTAGCTGAAGTCAATAACAATAAAAAATACTAATAGGGCAATTTGAGCAGTTAGCCAGTTCGTCCGTTCGTCAGTTAGCCAGTTCGTCAATTAGGGCCATTTTGGCGGAAACACGACACTTAAGCCCCATTAAACATTAAATATTTATTAACTGACGGCTAATCGCAGCTAATCCGTCGCATTGTTCTTTTCATTTTTTTTTTTGCTCAAATTTATAATAATCATAAAGCGTACAACAGGTACTATAGAAATAAATAATTGTAGTAGTTTTTGTTGTGCCGCGACCATTATAGCCCATTAAGTTTTTCTAAATAGTACAATCTTAAAAATTAAAATTAAAAAAAAAAGAGAAAATAATTTATTGTTGCCCGACAAATAAATCAATTTGTTACAAAAAAATTTCCAGCTTTTGTAAATTTCCAATTAGTATTTTTTACCCTTTTTTCTATTTAGTATTCAAGCAAATTTGTCTCCTTTTTTTGGATATGCATAATAAATTATTGTCGCGACTGACAGAATGCTTCACATAAGATATTTCAGCAAATATTTATTTACCTGTTGCATTGTATTTTATTTGAAGAGCGTTGCGGGAACGAGCCTGAGAACTTATAAGATAAGATTACAGAGCATCGCCGAGACTTCTGATTCCCGCCACACTGAGGTTCATGACGAGTTGGCTGCCTGTCGCATTTGATGCATGTGCCAATTAAAATAACAAACATTGCGCTTGATCACGACTTATAAGTGAAACATGAGCCCAACTTAAGGGCTGCCCATGCATCGTGACAGCAAACAAATTGAGTGTTTAAATATGCTAATGGCGGAATAAAATGGCGTAAAGATCTGCCTGAATTTCCATAAGCAGCTTCAGCTGTTTGCTTATCCAATTGCGTCTAACGTCTGCTGCCTGGCTCAACATGTAATCTAGAAATTTATTGGTTTTGTTTGGCTTACAAATTAATGTAAATGGAAAATAAACCATCGCATTTTTTTATATGATCACATCACTTTCTTAAGCATTAGGTAAAGCATAAACCTGATTTAAACAATTCGTTCTTTACAAAAAACTTGTTTCCAGTACTACGTACAGTATAATAAGTAGATATTATATGCCATTAAAGGCTGCATTAATGAGTTAGAAACACCAACTGAACGAGAATCAGCTTGTTATGGCTTGAATTCCTGGCTTAGTATGTGGACGTTGCGTTGATATCTTAGCCGAAGGCCTTAGCAGCCAATTAAAAGTTTTTTAATTTCAACTCAATGCTAATATATAATAAATAAAATAATAAATAATTATTAAAGAATAGTTTTTGCGACTTACGAGATATTTCAAACTTATTTTA